TTTGTGGATTTTGGGTAGTCCATACAGGTGAGGGGGCTTACTGTGGTGCGGTGTTAGCAATGATCTCTCTTTTTTCCGTAAAATAGACTTCGTGTTTTTCCAAAGTCTGGTACAACTTCCTTTCAATTGGACGTCCACTGCTTTCTGCATCATCGGTGTCTCTACGACCACCTCCAAAGTCAGCAAACCCACGTTTAATTGTTGTTTTTGATGTAGCGGAGTCCTCATCAAGAAGTAATATAAAATTAAAACCGAAATTGTTTTTGATCCAATGTTTTGTGTCACTCTAAGCACAATAACTCACAAACTTATGAGTAGAATATCATGAAATTTCAATAGCTTTCTTTTGATGGTTAGTACTAACCGAAAAAGCAGTAAATCCAATAAGACTAACGCCATCTAATGGTTAGGCCCGAGACTTTTCACCCCAGTATATAATAAAAAAGTGAGTTGTCGTAAACTTAATCTCAAATGAAAACTTTTATGAAAATTGATCATTTCCATTAAATTGATTCTTGATTATGTAACTGAGGTGACTGATCGATTCAAAGTTGGGAAATCATTGATGTAATGAGCAAGTCATTAAGAGCGTGTGTAAGTTCATACACCTAATAACCAATGAGTTTCACTCTGGAATCAGTTATAATTAATATTATCTTTCAACCATAGTGTTAACATGGTTGATAAAAACATGAGCCGGAGATATTTTTTCATAGATTTTGTAGAGTGAAAACACTAAATACTTCACTTCTCAAGACAATTAAGGGATCATTTCTTTATGAACTTGTTATCTCTTCAACAGTAATAAAAAACTTATTATATGTCATATATGGGCAATGCAAATGGTCCCAAATCCATGCTAAGTTATTGAATAATGTTTCTGTTCTGTATTGGGTATACGTGAGAAAACTAAAGAATTACCAAAATCAAAATGAACACCCTTTAATTAGTGCAATCAAAAGTAAACAAAAAGTTGTTTTTGTTTCACAATTAACGGCTCAATATCAATATCCCCGGACAGAAATGACAACTTGGATTCGCCTGAGGTTTTCATCAGGCAAACGCTCCCACAATGGGGAATGTTCCTCAATTCGGGTTATTACAGCAAATGCAAGTTTGAACAAAATAAAGTTGAGTTTAATTCATGAGTTTTTCAAATTCACTTTGAAAAGTATTCAAATTGATGTTTCAAATGTTGGGTTTTAATTTTTGAAGAGACTTGTTTGTATTGGCAACAGCGCCTATATCAAGTTGAAATAATTTATACGTACCTAGATATTCTACTTTAAAAAAGGAAAATTATCTTTATAAATCAACAATTAAGGCAAAATATAAATTATAGTTCAATACCATCTCCACAAGCCACATAAACAACAGTTGTTTTGTTATTTATTTATATAGAGGAAGATAGGTTAGGTGCACAAAATGTCATATGTCACAGAATGTCTCGGAACTCTGAAGATAAGTAAACAGAACAGCACGCTTCTGAAATATGTCATCTTTGTTTGTCTCATACAGGTAACAGATTTATTGTCCTTTATTAGCTATAACCGATGTTGCCAAATGGTGAAATAGAAACGAATCCCTTTAAATGTTGAATGCATTATTTCATTCCTCTTTTTTAAGTTTTTTTTTTCAATAGGTTGAAATGATAAGTTTAAAATGCGTTGTTTTACAGCTCTTTTGTGAAAACTACTTGTTTTTCGTCAGGAGGAACATTCCCCATTCTCGAAGAGCGATTTCCAGCTAATCCAAAGTGGTGGGTTTGTTTTGACGGCTTCGGATGCTTCTTCTCGGTTGATCCCAGACATGTTTGATGGGATTCAGGTCCGAGTTGCTAGCGGGCCACTCCAAAGTGGTGGTATTGTGGGTTTGTAGGTACTGATGCAGGATTCCTGCAGCGTGGGGATGGGCCCTGCTTCTGCTCTGTAACATATCTGGACATCCAACGCCTCATTAATGTACCTTTGGGCAGTCTGGGATCCGTTGAGGATGACTACAAAGTCTGTACGATCATTGAGTGTTATTCCACCCTACGCCATTACTTATCCACCTCCAAATGGGACCCTTGAAGATAAGCAGCAAGGAATAAAACGTTCATTTCTTCTGCTGAATGCTCTGACTCGACCACCATTACCAAAAAGAGTGAATTTAGATTCATTTAAAAAGAGTACTTCACGCCAATGTTTTAGCCGCCGACGTCTGTGTGTCCAAGCGAACTGTATTCTTTCTCTTTTGTGTAAGCCGAGGTACCTGGTCTGGTCGTCTAGATCTCAATTCACTTTCCCGGAGTTGATTTTGCACAGTCTGGTCGGAAATTTGGGTCCCTGTTGGTTGGCCTGTCCTCTTGGGCTGAGGTAGACCTCCGCCACGGTTAACCTGGCTTCTTAGTTACAATCTCTAGTTGTTGGTAGCAGTCCTGTTGATCTAAGTTTCCGAAAGCTATATTGATCATCGCTCAAGATGTTAAAGCCTTCTAAATATGTATGGGAGTTTACGACTTTCCCCATGATTTTGGATATAACTGATAGCAAAGTGACTGGTCTCTAGTTATTTGGAAAAAATTTTTTGACCTTTTTGGAACAGGCTGAACACGAACAGTTTTCCAACAAGAAGGAAACACTCCTATACTATTCTAAAGCCAAGAGACAAAAACAACATCTGTTGTTTCTTATCAGAGTTGCCTATTACCAGAGGTCACATGATATAATGAAAGCAATAGATGAAAACAAATGTACGGCGTTAGTCCTACTAGATTTCAGCTGGGAGTTTGATACTATTAATCACAATCTTTTGCTAAGCATTTTGGATTATAATGGTTTTTCTGCAAACGTTCTTGCATTATTGACGGACTATTTGAAAAATAGACAGCAACTGGTTAGTTTAGAAGAATACAAATCAGATATCTTATATCTCAAATCTAGGGTACCACAAGGGTCCATACTCGGACCTTTATTGTTCTCTATATATACATCCAACTTACTATAGGCTCTTCACACTTGTCAGGTGCATTTATATGCTGATGATACTCAAGTATACCACAGCTTTCCGGCAAAAATGGCAGACAATGCTTGTGGCATTATCAATGCAGATATAAATAGATTTGTTGAATTGGCAACGGACCACTGCTTATTTATAAACCCTAATGGATTAAATATAATGATCTTTGGTCCAAGAATTCACCGTTCTATAGTAAATAACTCTGTGAATATCTGCATTCGAAATAGATATTGTTAGTGAAGCAGAAAATCTTGGTGTTTTGATAGATGTAGATCTGAGATTTGGAAAATTTGTACAAAAATTCTTAACACGTGCCTATTCTGCACTGAAAATCATTTATGGTAACCGACGTTTTCTGCCTTATTATCTGAAAAAGTCCTTGCGTGAATCTTTGGTGCTTTCAGTTTTTATTTATGCGGATGTTCTTTATGGACAAAGTTTAACCAATCAATGTAAAAATAAGATTCAAAAAGTTCAAAACTTGTGCCTTAGGTTAATTTTTGGTATTGGTCGACGACACAGGATCCCAAATAAGCTTCTAGAAATTGGATAGCTGAACATGGAGAAAAGAAGGATGATACTTCACGCTGTCTATTTTTTCCATAAAATAATTGTAACAAAAACCCTTCATATCTTCATAGGAAAAAAACATATCGTACGGACATCCATAACCTGAATATTCGTTATAAAAATATTATTGCAATGCCAAAATTCAAAACAGAAGTGTTCAGGAAGTCTTCCAGGTACCAAATTTATCGAAAGTATAATTCTGTCCCCAACAACCTCAAAAAATTGAATTTCACAAAGTTCAGAACTAAATATAAAGACTATTTGTTAGACTGAAATTAAATCAAATTATTGATATCTTGTAAGGAATAGGTGAAGTAAACTCTTTATGTAAGGTGTTTATTCGTATCTATATTATAATATTATTAAATGTAACAATAACAGTTTTAGTTTTGTTTTTGATTTCTNAATGGAAAATACTACCAATATCTATTTGTGGTATTATGCAAACTATACCGTTTCATTATGACGCTTCATTCATTATTGAAAACCGGTTCAATATTATGTGTTATGTAAATTCCCAATATGATTCACCATGCCAAGTGAAGGCCAGCGTGGACATAATTGGTTTCTTGCAGAAGTAATAGTTCCCTACTTCTTTCACCTTCCGCAATCGAAGTAGAAACAAAAGTTTATTTATGGAATCAAAACAGTTGGAGGAGCTGTTTCAGGAGGACTTTCTTTCAGTTTGTGTCTGAAAGTTACTTCTTTGCATGATCTACACATCCATGTATAGAGCTACTTATTTTCAAATTGATTACTTCCTTCCTTTCTTTGGAAGAGTCCCTCATCTTTTTTGTATCAAGATGGAGTAGTAGAAAGCCAGAAACTTTCCCAAAAGGTAGATATTCCTTTACCCATCGTCTCCAAAAATGATCCGAGAGAAGTTGAGATATTCTAGTAAATAAATCAGTTTCTCAAAAACAACTGAGTGTTTCATTCTATTCATAGCAAGGACATGACATTTACTTAGGTCGAATGAAAGTTTATTATCATGACTCAATTTTACTATATCTATTGCTTGAATCTTTCTGTAAGAACAGTCCTTAATCATTTTCACGTTTTTGAAAACCTTCAAATCGTCTGCAAAAGCTAACCGTGTGAATAATTCAGCACTAATGAAAGATCATTAATGAAAAATGTAGACAATAGAGGCCCCAAATTAGAGTCTTGTGGGACTCCTGAAGTTATAGGGAACTTTAGAGATATATTTTAACTAAATGAACTTTCAATAATCCAAAATTAATAAATTCAAAGAAGAGAAGTCCGAACTTTTTACACCCAGAGAGAGGTCACGTTAACTTCAAATGAAAAACTTCATCCTAGCCATTGTCAAAACTCACTTGTAACCTAAAAATCGGAACATAACCTCTTAAAATATTTCCTCTCCCGACTACTTCAATTGTATAATGAAATTATTGTTTTTTTTACAGTGGATAATCCTTCTTCTGAGCGGAGCCTCGATATTACAACAAATTGATGGAAGAAGGGTTCAAATACAGCGGCCCCTTCCTGAAGACGAGGATGAACAGGAAACAGTCAATTATTACGCAGCTGAACCCCAAGATAGTCAAGGTTCAGTTGTACTTGTTTCATCTGCCGATAGATATAATGGACTCTACGGTCAACAGTCTGCTACGTCTAGAAGGATAGAAAATGACTACAACTCAAGAGCTCCAGCTAGAACACAAGAAACTAGGGTTAAAGAGACCCCTAAAACACCTCCAGTTCAAACTATCAGAAACTATAATAAGGTTAACGATGACGGGTCATTTACTTTCGGGTATGAAGCAGCTGATGGAAGTTTCAAGGAAGAAACTAGAGGTATTTATTGAATTTCTCACTGTTTTCTAAAACTCATGAGTAAATCACATGTTTAAATTCATTACCTCATAAAAAGGGATGGATTTGAAATAAACCACAGATGAAGAATATACAGGGTGTTCCTTAAACACATGCTAATATTTAATGAGGTAATTTTCAGACCCATTTTAAGAAAAAAACTTTCTATGGACGTATGTCCTAAACGCCTTAACTTTTGAGATACAGGGTGGCAAAGTTTTCAAAAATAATCAGTTTTTCAATAGTAACTGAGATAATTTTGTAGACATATTTGGCATATTTGGTACATATGTTCCATGCCTCAAGGCGCATTTTCTGATGTACACAAATTTGTATTTTTTCAAACAGTGGCATCCCTACGGGTTTCGCATTGAATATT